CAACATCCAGTGACCTGTTTTACCATTTTTTTCTCCTGGTCTGCTGGGTGACCATAAATCTGCCAGTGAAACTGTTTAGGGAATAATGGTAAAGCCACTGGAAGAAAACTCATTCTTACATGATTTCTCACTTGTACTGCAAAGTATATAGACAAGTTACAAAGCACAACTTCCTATCTTATGGTAGGTATAAAAACTTGAAAAAAAAGTTTTCTGCATTAAAGAAGCGAAGGGAATCAACACAATAATTCAGGTAAGAGCTGATGTTAAGTGCATTGTGAAGACTTGCGCTTAAACCTAGTAAGAACAGTTTTATGCAGCATACGGGAGTGTTATCACAGAATGAATTAACTGCAGAATAGCTGAGTTTGGAAGGCATCTCTTTGGATCATCTACTTCAATTCCTAACAGCTTGTTCTTTATTAATATATAGGTTAACATTGTCTGGAAGTCACCAAGGCACTGAATGTATAGGTCAAAGGTGATTTAACAGGCAAATCATTATGAACCACAGAATGATAGAACATTTTAAGTAAAAGATGAAAAATTCTCATGCAAAAAGATCTTAATACACCCCCTGCCTAACAGTCCACCCTGCAAATACCATCCAGGTGACATCCAAAAACTTTGCTTCTCAGGATGGCTCATGCTGGTTTTGTTTAAAATACTGGATTTACCTCCCCAAGGTCTCTGCTAGAGAATTTTTTTTTTTTTCTCTGGAGTGAAACATTAAAATCCTTCTGTTTAGGAGGCAACTGAATTATATGCATTAGCTTATCACCATTACAGAAACACACTCATAAACCTTTTGGAAATGTCATTATGATAAGAAGTTCTGATGTTGTGTTATTAAAGCAGATGCTACCATCTGCATTGTACTGTAGTGGAATAAAAATATGATTCACTCTACTCAAGACATGTTTGGCAAATATTTTTCCCATCAAACTAAAATTTCTGAAGGGAAACAAAAAAGAAAACAACAAACCACCTGTATTGAAAATGGTGCAAATTTGAAAGAAAATGACTTTTCTGTATGAGCAGTACAGACAGAAACAAGACACCCCCTTGATAAGTCATCTCTGACCAACGAGACTTGTTTTCAGAAGAGAATAAAGTAAAACAGCCGTTCCCATACTGTCAGTGCTTGAAACCCAATTAGAAGTCAGCATCTTAGGTTTATCTTCAGTAATTAACTGGCATACTATCTGTTGATCCTTAGAGTATGAAGACATAGCAAACAAGTGAAACTTTCTCTATGAATATTCATACACATTACAGAGTTACTCTCATGAAAACAAGATTCAGTCAGCATTTGATAAGCAGTACTTGTAACAGAGCCAGGCTTTGGACCTGTCTTTTTCTTTCATCCAGCATGTCTTGACTTTGAGCATTCAGACTTATTTCAACCCCTCAGCCTAATTCAAGATTTGCTGAAGAAGAACCAGGGTTGCTGATCTGTTTTCTCCAAATTCAGATCTGCTTCAGGAAACCCTCATCAGCTTAGCATTTTTGGGTGATACACAGAAGACTCGCACAATCAGCAGTTCATGCTCTGTCACTGCAATTTTTGGAAGTCAGATCCATCCACTACCATTCCAGGTATGTTGTCTGCAACATACTATCTAGTCACCATCAGGTTTCTTATCTTTCCCCCCCCCTCTAAATCACAAATCACTCTATTTGTCCCTGTATTCAATTCTCAACTTTTATCTTCAGTTACTTCAGGTTTTACCTGGAAAATTTAGCTAAACAGATAAATACACATAGGTCCCCCTCGGTTTGTGGATCATCTGGCAGACAAAAAATGTTCTGTCTTATACATGTGAAAATAGCAATTTTTCCCCTTTGATCACTACAAAAATATACAGCTCTTTCCCCTCAGCAGCTTTGGGTTACAGGTCTTCCAGAAATACTAGCAAGCTACATAATATTCATAACAATCTTGCTTTACAGGTTATCAGATTAAGAGTTTAAAATCTAGATCATGCTTACAGCCCTTTAAACCACTACACTGTAACTTGGCAGATGCACAACATAAACATAAAATCCATAGACTGACATAGACTGGCAACAGTGCCATTAGGCTTTACTTTATATGTTTCTTTCAGAAAGAAATTATCTTTGTAACTTAACTTCTTTGTTCTCTGCACCAACAAATTGCCAAATTCAATTCCAACTAAGATGATAAACACCTCCAGAGATTTGAACTATGCAACTTCACTAAGAGAAAAGTGACTTCTGAAGGTTCTCACCTACTGCCCTAAACAATGACATACTCTGTTCATTACTATTTCTACACTATTAGGTATTTCTGGAAAATGCAGGAAAGCCTTGCCTGGTACAGTACATTGCCTGATAACACATTTGCATCTATACTGGGTGATCATTACCACAAACAGATTTCTTCTGCCTCATTTCTCTGCTTTGACAAACACTAAATCCTCTGAATCATATTATGGCCATCTAAAGCAAGAAGATTATTTCATCTTATTCCTGTAAATACCTTTTCTGGGAAAGGAGGGAAGATGGGTATTTTGCTAACTAGCAAAGCCCCACCAAGGCTCTGCATTACCTGTATGAGCATAGCCCTTTGCTAATCTTACCTGGTCAAGGCCCTCATTTGTTTGAGCTGAAAGGCTCAAACGAGTCCCTAGCTGTGGGGAAAATGAACAGAGTTTCTGGTCTGTCTCCGAGTAGTATAATATAAGTGAAAGTAGTGTCTTAGGTACAAGTGCTTTATAGGTTTCTGTGGGTGTTTGTTTTGAAGAGACAGAGACTGGAAACAAGCAAACAGGAAACAAGGGGGGGGGGGGGGAAGGTGAGTCACTATCTTCAGTTCTTTTTCATTTTCCCATGTTTTGCATGCATAGCACATTCTTCCTCTACTATCTCCCCTTGTTTGCTGACCATATGAAAATATTCAGGGAATGTTATTCTTAAGGTCTTCACTACTCTTTTCAATCTGTTCTCTTCCCATCCTCCATTCAAACACACTCTACCACTATAAGTCACACTGTGCTGTCTTAGAGCCTGCACAGTCTTAAGTAGCAGACAGACTCGGTGTAACAGAAGCACGACAGAGGAAATTGATTCAAGAACCCAGAAAGCATTTCTTTATTCTATGCCGATATACTGCCTCTTTCTTTACACTCCCCGCCAAGCCCCAGATCATTTTTTCACACTGCTGGTACCACGTTAACAAAGATGAAGTGAAATCAGATACAGTAAGAGTGCAGGGAGGATAATGCTTGTTATCCCATCTCTACTTACTGCTTCCCTACTTCCTTCCTGTCCTCCCTGCTTCTGGCACAGTACTCATATGATGGGATTTCAGGGTGAAATCAAGATAGTAGCAGCGGTGCCCTCTGCCACCATTCCTCTAATTCCTCAGCTTCCTGGGACAGGAGATCAAGGCAGCAAAGGAACACAGAATCAGGGAACAATGTTCCCAGCCCAATTCCTACCATGCTTCAGCCACACAGATTAATCAGTTTCTGTCTCCTCCCTTTAATATGGCACTTTCCATAGGGCAGTCCCAGATGTATGACAGATAAACTGCTATATGTTTTTCCAAGAGCCTTAATTATTACCTGGCTTAGGTAAATAAAGCATTTAAGTTCTCAAAAGCGATGCTAACCTTAGTTCAAAACAGGTACATCATGTATGTCCACAATAGATAAAAACATCAACAGTGTCTTGAGCTATATTCCTCAGTTTCAGTTTTCTTACTGGTGACTTGAAATTATTTTATATGTTACAAATACTTTTTTTATTTTATTTTATTTTTACATTTCCCCCCCTCCTATTCTGGCACCAAGCTATACTTTTCCCAAAGATAACCTAACGTTTTTTATTTTCCCTCTGCTCTTATACTTTTCCCAAAGATAACCTAACGTTTTTTATTTTCCCTCTGCTCTAACTTACACTGGGTTTCCTTTAGGTTTAAGAGGCCCTCATAATCATTTCCAACTGAAACTACCAGCAAACGGAGAGTAAATCCATACCATTTAAAAACAATCCATGTTTGCTTAGGTTTGTTCCAGTTTGTCCTTTCACTCTCCTGGTATACCAAGTTCCACTCCGAGCATTTCTCCATTAGAAAAATACAAGGAAGCATAATAATTTATTTGCTTTAGCCAAGTTCACACAGCAGAGCCAAGTCAAGTCAGGAACACAAGCAAAGTAAATCAATAAACCTAGAAAGCCTGCTTTGCTCTCCCATCTACTCCTGAAATACAAATTTCAGAATGAAGTCCTCCATGTACCTGTTCCTGTTGGGAATATTTCCTGTTTAAAAACACCAAACAACTAACCAACCAAACCACAAACCCAAACACACAGAGGAAAGTGCCCTCACCGTTCCCCCTCCCACCAAACCTCTGCAATTAGAATCTGAAATTACAGATGACCTTTATGACTATGGAAATACAACACGTTGTACATGCAAATCTTCAAAAGCACACGTTGCACTTCACCTACACACATAAACCCGCGGTTAGTGACCTACCAAATTAATACTTAACATCTTGTTCTGCCCCATGCAAAACTGGACAGATGATAACACACGAAGGGGTGTGATCCCTTATCCTGCTTGTAAATGTTAAGGGGGAGGCATTTTTTATCACAGCAGCAAGATGAGTGCTGACTGATGAAACTGGAGATCGCTTGACATCTCTTCATACTCTTACCTCCCTTATCTCTGTACTGGTAAAACAGCCCATAAAAGCCACTTGCACTTTCCAGCTGTTCATTTCTGAACATCCTTCTAACTACGGTATTGCCCCCCACAGACCTCTTTCCCGGATCAATTCTCAGTTACAGGCTGAGGGGGGAACATCTCGGTTTTACTTAAGAGAACTCGGCTGCGACTGGACGTCACCGCTGGCGGCAGAGCTCCCGAATCGCCTGTACCGTGCCTACTCGCCGGTTTGTTTACTGAACTGCTGGCTGAACTCAAGTTTCAGAGCCTCGCTCGCTGCGAGAATAAATATTTAACTTACAGGAGCCGCGTCTATTTAAAAGTCTTCTCGAGAGCGTCCTTAACTCCCACGAGAAGGGCAAGGTGTGTTAAGAAGGAGCAGCGGCGGGCATTGCAGTCCTGAAGATCCCCTCCTCGGGCACAGCCGAGGCCCCGCGGCAGCCCGGCGGACCAGCCTGCTGCTCGACGCTGGGCACAACGCGGCCCCACGCTCCCCCACCTCAGCCTGCTGGGGACTCCCCTCTCGCCCTCCCCGCTGAGGCACGACCCTTCCGCCTCGCAGCCCGCCCCCGCCTCGCACCGCCCGCCAGCGCGGACCGACCTGCGCAGCGGCGGCGGCGGCGGCGGCTGCGGCTCCTCCCGGTCCCGGCTGCGGGCCGCCCTCGTGCCAGGTGCGCCCCACGGCGGCGGTACGCGGCGCCATCCCCGGCTCCCCTCACGCGCGGGTACTGGCTGAGGAGACCGGGCAAGACCGGCGGCGGCGGCACCACCCTCACGTGACGGCGGCGGGAGGGGGCGCGCGGGCAGGTGCTGAGGGGCCACGGCCGGCGGCAGGATCCGCTCCGGCCGGGATCCCGGCAGTAGGCCGGACTCGCGCAAACCCGCACCCTCAGAGCCCGGGCGGGTAGGGGGGTACCCGCCGCTTCCCCTCGGCCCGCCGGGGCTCCCGCAGCAGCGCACCTGTAGTGGCATCAGAATGCCCAACACCCACTGCCAACCCCCCTTGTTGGCGCAAAACCAAGGGTACCAGCTACGGAGCATGGGCTGGGCCTTGGTTGAACAGGTAGTGGAGGCAAACACTGGTTTGAGGGTCCCAGTCGGTTGCTGCCACGCAGTATCTCGGTCTGGCTAAGACAAATGTGTGCAGCCTTATGGATCTTGGATCCATGCAAACCTTTCCCATCATCACCTTGTGTAGAGGTGGAAACTGGGCATGATTGGCCCCTCAGTGAGTTTCAGTGTGAAAGGAAGGGACTAGAATTCAGTTGGAGGCCTGTAGCCAATGATGTGCCACAGGAATTAATACTGGATCCAGCCTTATTCAACTTGTTTATCAATGGCCTGGGTGAAGGGATGGAGTGTACCTTCAGCTGGTTTGCTGATGATACGAATCAAGGGAGAGTGGCTGGTAACACCTGAAGGCTGTGCTGCCATTCAGCAGGACCTTGATAGGCTGGAGAATTGGGTGGAGAGAAACCTTACGAGGTTCACAAGGGCAAGTGTAGGCTGCTACACTTGGGAAAGAAGAGCCCCAAGCACCAGCACAGGCTGGGGGCTGACCTACTGGAGAGCAGTTCAGCTGAGAAGGACCTGGGAGTGCTGGTAGATGATAAGTTGACTATAAGCATGCAGTGTGCCCTTGATCCAGGAGGGACAATAGTGTCCTGGCGTGCATCAGGAGTGTGGCCAGCAGGTCAAGGGAGGTGATCCTCACCCTCTACTTGGCACTGTGGAGGCCACATCTTAAGTACTGTGCCCAGTTCTGTGCTCCTCAGTACAAGAAGGTCAAGGAGCTACTGGAGAAGGTCTAGTGGAGGGCCACAAAGATGACTATGGGTTTGGAGCATCTCTCTTAAGAAGAGAGACTGCAAGAGCTGGGCCTGTTTAGTCTAGAGAAGAGCAGATTGAGAGGGGATCTCATTAATGCATATAAATATCTGAAAGGTGGGTGCCAGGAGGATGGTGTCACTCTTTTCACTGGTGCCCAGCAACAGGATGGGGAGTAATGGCTACCTGTCACTGGTGAAGCACAGGAAGTTTCACCTCAATATGAAGAAGATTTTTAGGTTGAGAGTTGCAGAGCACTGAAACAGGCTGCCCAGGGGGAATGTGCAGCCTTCTGTTCTGGAGGCATTCAAAACTCACCTGGACATGTTCCTGTGTAACCTGCTCTAGGTAGCCCTGCCTTGGCAGGGGGCTTGGACTAGATGATCTGCAGAGGTACCTTCCAACCCTAATGATTCTGTGATTCAGTTTGAACAACTTGCCCTCTTCTCCCTTTTTCTGAGTTTTATTCTTTGTATCACTATTACTAGAAGTAGAACAGTTGATTAAAACTATATTAAGTAGTGCTACCAGGCATATTTTTGGTGCATATTTCTACATACCATGGATTTTATAGCTTAACAAAAACTGTTAACTGAGAAAAACAATACTCTCTCTAAAGACTTAAAGCACTTCTTATATCTTTAATTCTATTAGTAAGATAATAGCATAGGCCATTTATATTGATATAAGTGGTTTATGTCATATTTCTGGTGATTCCTGTCTTTAAAAACATTCTCCAATGCTGTGTTTATGATTGCAAAAATCTCATGGAGGTACAGGAAATCTCCAGGGAGGCAAACGCCTATATAAAAAAAAAAAGGCTCACACTCAAAAGGTGTAGGTTTTCCTTCTGTCTGTAGAGATTCCTGGATTACTTCCAGAAATACAAAAAGTGCTGCAAGTTCTGGGCATTGGAGTTTACTGTCTTTTTTGGATGCCTTGCTGATACAGAATGTGATAGTGGTTTCTGTTGTCTTGTTTTTACTGAAACAGTTCACCCCACGTGTGTAATACACAGCTCTTTCACAGCATGCATATGCTGCAGGAGTACTTTTGATTATGTCACTTTTCCAGGGAGTTGGCTAAACAACAGTAAGCATTTAGCAGAAAGTGAGATAAAGAGTTTAAGTACTTGTAACAGTGACAATGTAATTAAAACACATACGTTTCGCTGCTTATGGGGCGGTTGCATTTTCACCACCACAGATTGCTGTATCCTTTCTGTGATTATGTTGACTTCTATCTAAATAGTCTAAGCATGTTTAATATGCATGATGTTTCAATGTAATTCTATTACTTGGAATAATTGTCTTCAACTTTAGAATTTTCTTTTGCCTAGCATCAGCTTGTACTGTATTTGGAATGTTGAAACATGTTGTTCCCTGTTAACCAACCGATGCATTCTCTGACCTTGTGAAGAGTTATGTATGATTTCAGTTTTCTTTTGAACTTAACGCGTGAGACCAAGAGTATGAATCACATACCAGATATTCTAGATAAAGAGTTGGACCTCACTTACAGAGCAAACATGCCCAGGGTGGAAGAGGGAGAAAATGGGAAATGAAGTAGAACACGTTTGAAACATCTCTGAACATGCTAAAGAATAATTAAAACTGACAAGAATCCACAGGCTGCGTATTAATTTGACTTGCTTTTCAACTTTTCCTGTCTTTCCTCTCAGCTTTGAGGTAGTCATCTTAAATAGGTCACGTAGAGGAGTGGTCAAAATTATAATGGTTGATAACATTTGCCTCTTTCGTAATACTGATACCAAAAAGTATACACTGATACCAAGCAGTGTACACTGCTTGTTGCAGTATTGGTAAGCCATTCCAGAAAGATCTGTGGGATTTAGAGCAGTCTGGGCAAAGTTGGGAGTCTTTTTCCCACCAGCCTCATTTCCCCTCCTTTTCCCCAACCAGCCTCAATGGTGGTCTAGGGAAGTGTCTGGGTGACTTTTCACATGATGGAAGCAGCATCTGGGACCTCATTTACTCCTCTATGGCTGCATAGGATTGTTACCTCCTTTCTTATTTATTCAAGAGCTGGAGTTGTCAAGACTCTGCTGTTACATGCTGAACTCCAGTGTTTTGTTGGGAAAAGTGGTGTCAGCCAGTGCATGGGAAGGCAACCATGGCCTTGTCTTAAGGCTGTGAAGGGAAAGGACCTGGAGCTGAGAGGCTGTGTGATTACTGTCACTCCCATGGGAAGCACTGGCAGAAGCAGAGGGAGATTGAGTAGCACAAGCTAAGTACAGAACACAAACCACTGTCCCTCTACTGCTGCGGGATTCACGTGTAGTCATTTTACTCTTCTGTTTCTGTATTGTTTGCTATACAAAGTCCTGGTTTTACTACAGTATTATTGTACCACCAGAAAGCAGAGAGAATTCTGATTTTGGGCTACATTTAGGTCATTGATCTCACCCTGTTTAATGTAATTTTAACTGAGGTGGTTTAATTCTGTATCTCTCTTTCTCAGTGTAGCACATTTCAGAAACACTCCTTCAGCTGTCCTGGCCTCTTGGCTAATTACCATTCCAGAAATCTCCCCTTCAATAAGAATGGTTTGTTTCTTTTCTGCAGTAGTGCAGACACATGACTGTCACAAAGCTGGCATTGTGTTAAGCCTTTGCCTCTCTTATGTAACAATGAAGCTTATTGAGGGAGAGCAGAACCATCCTTCTTGGAAGAGACCTATGAAAAAAAACAGCTAGGAACTCAAAAAGAGAATACTGCTGGACACTACTGACCATCCTAATTTCTTCCATCTCAAAAGTCAGTGCAAAGTTACCTGTGAGAGCCCACCTGTTTGTCTATAACTGTTTATCTCAAGTAGGTATGATAACCAGGGTACATTTTTTATTTTGTTAAAAATTATTGAACATAACTGTCAGAGTTTCTCTTCCTCAGTGTCACAGTCACATTATGGGTTGTGCTGATGATGCTGAGAGGCCCTGTATGTGAGTTCAGGCTGTGTTCCTGATCCTGCAAGCATGCCTGAGTGGTGCTTAGGTTTATGCATGTCAGTGGTTCTTCCATAGGGCACTGCTTGGTCTGTTACTGGGTTGTACAGAAAAGTAGCAAAATGATTCATAGTCACTGAAGGATAAGGACCAAAACAGACACTTAGGTGAAGGCTCTACCATGCTCCCTGAATAGAAAATTATGGCTATAAATCAGGAAAAAACATTCATGTTTTGATACATCAACTTACGGTATATTCCAAATTGATGTTTTATTTGCTGAAAAGCTTTTATAAAGCTTTAATTTTACTGTTTATGAAGGATAGTAAATTATATGCAATGAATGTAGTCTAAATACAGACCCAATCAGTTTGATTTTTCATTATCAATTTACTCTAGAATTCTCACAAGAGATACCTATGATCTCACATCCGTCTTTATCAAAAGCTTTACTCCAAGAAGACTAAAGTAAAGGTTAATCACAGTGTGATTTCACTGTTTTGCCCAAACTACAGTACTCATATTCATAGACTGTACAGGCTGTGAAACACCAGAATTCCAACAATGAATAAACACAGTGATGCAAGACTGTGAAGGCTGCAACGGCTGTGTAATCTCTTGTTTGTGAAAAATAAGAAGTCCCATCTAAATGC